CCGCAGCACACACTGTGTTTTCAGCTCGGATTCTGTGATCTCCCTGCCAAACAGGGGTTTACAAAGCAAAAACCTCCAGAGAATTCTCATACTTTCTGGCTTATTCTCCTGGTGTCTGTCTTAACAGGAATCAGCTGTTTGCCTTCTCACTTATACAGCATGTTGCCGGGGAGAATTCAGCATCTGGTCTGGCTATTATTAAAAACAAGAACATCCTGCTCTGTTGGGAGAACAGCACCATGAGCAATAAAAGGACCGAGATCATTTGCATCCAGGATTCCAGAGATGTGTTTCCAGTCAATATCTGCTTGCCCTCCTCCCCCCATGGCGTTCATTTTAACATTTCCTGACGTTTCCATTCCATCATTTGCATCGTGGTCTCCTTTTTCTGAAACAGAGAGACAGAGCGTGTTTTTGCCTTTCACTGGGAGGCTGGAATCACTATAGTTGTTCAAACACTGGCCCGCTCCTGCAGTGTGATAAAGTTGAACTACCAGAGGAATTTTTTTTTTAATTTTACAACTGCGGAAATGAAAAAGTAAACAAGACTGGGACTGCATCGGTATTTAGGCTCCAGCTTTTTGTTGTTGTTTTCGTCTTTTTCTTTTTTAAGCCTTGGACTAGGGGCCCGAAGGAACCATATAATATGAAAAACACCGAGAGCTTTTATTAGCCAATAAAAAAATCTCAGTTCCTATTAACCACTTAATTCCTTGCTAGGGTTTCACACTTGCTTCCTCCTTGCATCCCTTTCTTCCTCTCATGCCCACGAGGAATGAAAGTTGGCCCGCCAGCCTTTCCCTACACAACCTGAGTTCACAGTGTGTGTTCCAGAAGTTGCAGCTGAGAACTGAATTCAGTAATGTTCTCTGCATTTCTCATCTGTGAAACCACTAGTAAGAGATCTCAATAAGGAGTCAGGTTTTCTACGCCCCAAATCCACACACAGAAAGACTTTTTAAACTCACTGCTAAACAGGAGAAAGGGCACTGTGACTTTCAAGATTTCGGTATGAAATGACTGTTGAAGAAGACAGAATCGAGCTGAGGCCTTACTAGGAGAAGTACCGATGCCACAGAAGGCGCCTCTCATTTTTGAGTGGAAGAATAAAGAAAAACTCACAGAGAAACAGAAAGTGAAACTGGTCAGCACTGTTGAGCAGTCAGAGATAGATGGAGTTATAAAAAAAATAAATGACCTAATTTAAAAAGGAAAGGATGTCAAAGGAGATTTAGATCATTGTTATTAAACCCCACACCATTATGCATGTCATGTGGTTTTGTTGTTTGCTTTTTGCTGTTTTTACATTATAAATTTGCACAGTAACATCAATTTGTCATCCAATTGGGTTTTGAGAGACCCCAGTCCCTGAAACTTCCCCCTAAGCCTACACTGCACCTCACTTTCCACATCCGGGCGAATTTGAGTCCTTTGGGTTCTCAAGAGAAATGTCCTCAGGCCTAAGGTGTAGAAGGCCACGTGAGACTTGGTTGCAATCTTTTGTCTTGCCTCACTTAATGTTGCAGGGACAAGACTACTTACGTGGAAGAACTTTAGCGTTTTGCTATAAAGTCTTGTTTTCTTCATAAGAATGACGGGGGGGGGGGCAGATTATTTCCTTTCTGTTGTTGGCTATGGAGTGGGGCAGAATGACCTGAGATTAAGAGAGTAGTCAAGTAGTTACATCTGCAATGCTAAAACATGAAGCAGGTTTTCCAGAAAACCCCAGACATTATTTCAACAAGATAATAAGACAACAAATTAGAGTAAGTTTTAGTAAAGGTTAAGTGGGTTTCCAGAAACTTGATCCTTCTGCTTTCCAACTGGTTGAGCATGTCTGAACAGTGGGGCTGGTTGAGTCACAGAAAGCTTTTGAATAAAAGCTTTGCAAAAATTAATAATAACCCCTTTGTAAATGTCAGCTTCACTGCACTGCTGACATCTCTAGAGTGGCCCAGTGTCCCTGGTCCCCTCTAAACAATCTATCTGAAGCAAAGTGATTGCTTCTTCACCACTTGTGGGATGAAGTGGTGTTTTTTTGTTTGTTTACTTTTTGTTTTGTGTGTGTTTTTTATTGTTTTGTTTGTTTGCAGAATTTGCAGGAATGACAGACAGCTGAGGAGAACAAAGGCTGCGTGTGTGTGTGCACGGCAAACTCCACCTGTCCCTGTATGTCTGTCTGCTTGGGCACCTCTCCGTCCTCCACCCTCCCACCTCCCTTAAGGCGTGCACGCAAGCACGCCTGTGCACTCACACACAGACACTTTCCTTGGTGTGTATTACCCTTAGCACCTGCAGTAGATCCTTTTCTTTGCTGAATTTTGATTCATAACTTTTTTAAAAAACTTCATTTCCAAGGCCTCCTGATTGAATAGCTACTGATGGAAAACTGCTGGGAAGTCACAATGAGGGCACAGGAATAGTGGCAAGGAGGAGGGAGATCCCCATGCTTTTGCTCAGGGCTCGTAATTTAAACAGAGAGCATCAGCTACCCATGTACTGGCCTTCCTTAAGCACCTTTTCCAGGCCCAACAAGAGAGCCAATGAAGGAAGAGCAGAGGTGGGTGGAAATCAAATCGGAGGAGCCGGTGGGCCTAGTCCTAGTGCACGCAGGCCAGCTGTCAATGCATGCACGTCCTCGGCACCAACCCGGGACAGCTCCCGCTGCAGGTGCCCTCCCCAGCCCTAGCTCTGCCCTAGGAGCAAATGTACGAGTTTGCCTGGGCCCTCACAGGTGAGCTGGCTCGTGCTTGCTGAAACTGTGGCGGTCAGTTGAGTTGTTCCCAGAAAAATGTAGTGACTATGAGTCTTACCATAAGCCTCCTACCTTTTTAGATGCCCCCAAACCTTCATTTCCTAGGACTGAATCATTTCCAAAATGATTTTCGAATAATTGGGACAGGGAGGCCAGTTGACAGGATTGCCTGTTTACCTAACAATCTACATAGGGTTGTTTTGCTTAAATCAGACACCAGTGCCTCTGTTTCTGCCTCGAGTCTTCATCGTGTCACTATTGTTAACCACCCGTTTCCACAGGGAATGAAACGTAAGCCCATGAAGCTCTGTAGGCCCTGCTCTCATTGACTGTGAATGAGGCTTCTCCACCTCTTCCTTTGCCTTTTCAGACTGTTTTCAAATCCCGTAAATATAAACACGTGGCTCTTCAGCCGCATCTGTAGATAATAACTTCAGGGGGCTTCCTGTTTACATGGCAATACCCATTTCCCAGCCAAATAAACTCTGTGACAGAGAGCTGAGGTGTTTATTGGGCCAGCCTCGGCTGGGATTGAGTTAACAGGAAACACCCACTCTGGAAGAAATGTCTGCTGATTAAATATTTGGGGGGCAGGGGACACAAGGGGTCAAAAACAGTACAGAAATTGCTTTCTTCTTCCGCCTGTCGTTTCCAGTAAGCAGCAGCAGCAGCACCATGATAAACATGGCCAAGCAGCCCGGGTGCGACGAGCCCACGGCTGTACCGTTCACCGGCCGCACAGCCGGGGGGTGGGGAGGAGGGAAGACGTGCAGAGGGCAAACCCGGGAGCCTCCCTCACAGCACGGCCAGGTGATGGGAGGGAAAGGCTGATGTGCACCCATCACTGGGAAGCCCCTTGTCTTCTGCCTGGCTGCGCTGTTTTAATAAACGGTGTTTCCGAGCACCGGATCTGTCAATAAAGCCTGACCTAAGAATTTAGAGAGAGCCTCTAGCCTGTGGGTCCTCAACTGGGGGGCTGTGGGGGGCGTTTCCTGCCAGGGGACGTTTGGCAAGGTCCGGAGACATTTTTCTTTGTCAGGACTGGGGCCGTGCTGTTGGCATCCACTGGGCAAAAGCCAGGGATGCTACTTAACCCTACAATGCACAGGACAGCCCTCCCTACCCCGCACCGAAGAATCATCCAGCCTGCACACGTCAACAGTGCCAAGGTCTAGCCCAGTGCCTTTCATAAACTGAGAAACGGAGACCCAGAGGGGTAAAGTGATTCACCCTGAGCCATGCCTCTGGACAGAGCTGGAGCAGGAAAGAACGCCACTATGCCCACCCACAGGTGATGCCTTTTAAAGTCACACAGATGTTTAATTTCAATGGATAAACAAGTATACATCCTCAAAGAGTTGCAAACAATTTCCCTGGCTTCGGTTCACTCAAGTGCTTTTAGGATACCTCCTAGTCGTAGAAATGAGCTGTTTCCAGGATTCTCAGGAAACAGTGCCAGAGGGGTCAGAATGAGCGGGCCTTGTTGAAGGAGGCCTCTAACTCGAGTGTGATGTGGGCCACTGGCAGGTTGCTGAGCATCCTGGCCCTTCCTTCAGAGCTGTGGTGAGCCCAGGCCTACAGACAGCACAGGACAGAGAGAAAGCCGCCGCTCTTTCCAGGCCCTCAACCTCGTCACTGGGGAGGGACTTACCAAAACAAGCAATGGCCCAGGAAAAAAATCAGAAAACTATACTTAATGCTCACTAGTAGAATTTTTCTGAGGCTAGAGCTCTCCAGGCCAAAATCCATTTCCACTCATCCTTGGCTTGGTTGACTTTCTTTTTAAGAACCCAAAAGAGACGTGGGAAGGAAAACAGAGTACCTGCTATGGCTGGGCCGCCTGAGGCCTTCCCACAACAGCCAGGGGCTTACTGGTCGGACCTTGTCCGTGGGCCCAGACAGGAGAATTGGGGAACCGCTGAGGCCGAGGTCTTTACATCCTGACCAGTCCCACGGCCCAGAAAAGGGCTTTCCCCAGGGGTGGGGTGAGCGTTCCTGCCTTCAGAACCAGACTGATGACGAAGTGAGTTCACTGCCAGATTCTTTGCCCACCCTCTCTAGGAGTGGGACAGAACAAGAACCCAGCGCTTACCAACATTCTCTCCCTCTCTCACCACTAATACAGTCTCTGCTCTCACTCGGCCCGGTACGTCCTACGGCCAGCAAGTGCCTGGGGGAGGCGGCCGCGGGCATCAGATCGGAGAAGAAACCGCGAATGAGAAAAGACCCAATGTACACACATAACAAAACCAAAAAAGCCATTTTATTGAAAATTAAATTCAAACTTCAAATTAATATTACAATCATGAGAAAAATGCCAAATAATTCAATTTACAGTTGCAACATACAATACAAACAGTCCCTTTGAAGTGGAGCTCGAACTCGCCCACGAGCGTGACCTGTGGCACAAAGCAGGGTTTGTACAATATGTGCACGGGAAGCAAATCTTGGGCAACAGCGATTGGAAAAAATAAAAATGAAAAGCTTGTATTTACACAAAATGCTACAAATATTTTTGTTCCACAGAAATCTAAGAATGGTAAAGCATATCCAAAAAATGGAATTTTATTCAGAATACCTAAGAAATTACTGTAAGTTATGGTTTTGGCTGATATATTTCAAAGTACTGCAGTAAAAAGCAAACAGTTATTTGTAAACATGAAGTAAACAAACATCTAAAAAATTCTCACATAGAAAGTATTTTTAAATGAATTATCTTTTTAAGGATAACAAATTCAATGTTTAGAAGAGTTGTCTTTTATTTATTTCAGTAATTATCATTCTTTCGGACATCAAAGATAGAATTACCGTTTTTGCCAATGCTCTGTGTTTCCATGTATGAGCCTAGACTCTGGGGTCTGTCCCGTTCCTGGGGATGGAGGGAGCTCTCTAAGCCAGCAGGCAAATCCCCCCTCTGAATCTGCAACGTGTGGTCACTAATCATGCGCATGTCTCTGCTCACTTTTGAAAGGCTCTAGTGGGGTAAAGACAGTCTAAGGGGCAAACAATAGTTACTCTGTTGAGTCTCCCAGTTCCAGGCTGGATGTCACATCACTAATCTAAAGCCAAAGCTGTGGTACCTGTTCTGGAACTCTGTGACAGAGGTTAGCGCTTGTGAGACAACTGAAACAGATAAAAAAAAAAAAAAAGTGACTGTTGGTCACACTGTAAACTCCAGCGATGCTGATGCTACAAAAAAGAAAAACCCTGGTCCTCAACCCGAGGAGAATGGAGTGGTGGCTAGTACAGGGTTCTAGAGCAGAAGTAAAACTTTGCTTTGGTCTTGAAATCTCAAATCATACACATGACCCAGTGCAAATTAAGAGTTCAGTTAAAAAAAAAAAGGAAAAATTTAACCCCCAGGCCAAAAAAGGGCAGAATTTCATCTAAAAATGTGAATTACCCCACTGGAGTGGTTGGATGAGGGTGGAAGGATGAAGTGCTTGAATTTTTCCCAAGAAAAAAAATTTCTTAAGTGTTTCTGGGTTGCTGCCTGCAGCCACTATAATAACATTTCAACACAAAAGCATCCCTAAGGTCACTTAGTATGTGTACTGTAAACTTAAAAAAGCCCTTTTAACATTAGAAAATAATGTACAAATATAGTACCTTTTTTTTTATTAAATAGGGTACAGCTGGCACTGGCGGTAACATTTTTATGTCAATTAATTAAAAATGAAATGTGTAACCAGACACTGGCTTCTTTAAGTGCTGCTGAAACAAACACACACATTTTACACTTACAAATAAATGGACAGTGGCATGCTTCAAGCTACCACACACAAACAATAAATAGTATCAATTACTACTTCCATCTTACTTAAGGAATAGAAAAGTGGCTTCTTTATCTAAGCATACTTGGTATACCACCTTCAGAAGGCAAAGTGTTTTGTTTTGGTTTGGCTTCCCCTCAGTTTTTGGTAGGAGGAGTCAAGACAGATTCCAAGGGGGACTTCCAGGCAGGAAGACAGGTCCAACAGCCCCTCAGACTGTCCTGCGACACTGGCAGCTCAGAAAGTGGGCCTGCCTGAGAATCACTAGAGAGAGCAAGGGGCCTCTGGGGGCTGGAAGCAACAGGGGCACAGAACTCAAACAGAGGGGCCCTGACCTGTGGGGGTGGGGGGAGGGCAGGGATTTGCCTGGTGGTGTCATTAAGTGATCCTGGCTTGGATTAAGGATTCATGCTTGAGAATTGGCCACATGGCTGCCAGGAGCCGGTCAAAGTGCATCCTACAGGAGGGCTTTAGCTTGAAGTCATAGACAGCAGTAGACACCAAACTCCACTGAGCTCTGCCTTCCCTGTGCCGTCCACTGTGAGAACTACAGATGTCTAAGGCTGTACATGGGACCCCACAGGTTGTATGTTCTCTCAGATCAGTTAGCTACCTGCTGGAACTGGCTTGCCACTTCAGATGACCCTGCCCCCATAAGACAAAGACTTAAATCTGCTCCTTTAAATGCAAATTCTGTGGAGAGCTGCCCATGGGGCCTTGGGTAGATCTGGGTTCCCCTGATCTATGTTCGATAAGGTGGTTGGTTAAGAATCTCTGGTGCAATTTTGCTTTCCTGCACTGTGTGTACCATTATTGGCCCTTTGGCCACAAGTGTGGCTTTAGGCTCACTACGTCTTCACTATGAAGCCTGGCGATTTAGAGTTCTGCTTTAACTATGAAACCACAGAACACTTTTCTGCAGTTCAATGATTCTCTTGTGCTTGTCTTTTTAATATGACAAGAGTCATCGTTATTTGGAAGAAATAAGAAAACCACATCACTCCAGCATTTCATGCTGGTTAAGGGCAACATAAGTGATAAAGGGCTAAGAGTTGTTTTTTAAAGTCCTAATTATTGCTTTAAAAGGCAAAGCTGTGTTAGAGGCAATCGAAGATCTGAAAGAACTAACATAACATTTCCTTCATACATCACAAAAACAAGCTACATCTAAAATATTTGGAGATGGAAGTACTTTTAAAAATCACATTGTGCCTGGATGAACTGAAATTGCTTAGCAATATTTCAGGTATGGCTCTAGCCCACTGAAGAAATTTGTTATTTCATAAAGAGCACTTTTAGAGACCGAAGTCAACATATCGATACACTAAGAAATCTTTCAAGGGTCCAAATGTCATTAAATAATTATAAATATATCTTTAAAGTTATATGACCATTCACTTAGCAAGTTACCTCAGATTTTACACATATTCATAATTTAAAAAAAAAGAAAACAATAACACACAGCCAAACACAAACACTATCTATACCATTATGGCTATAAGAAGGTATTGCCATTTTCAGTTTTGCATAAAAGGAGGAGAGGGGTTTCAGGATGGCATTTCTTTTTGGTTAAATGGGAAAGGGGTGGGTAGTATAAAAAAGGAAAATAAAATAACCTTTCCTGACCAGTATACTTGAAGTCACTTTCTTAAAGTAGGAAAAACACTGAACCAAACAGTTCCAAGGAGTCCTTGCAGCAGGGGCGGAAGCCCAGTTTGGAACAGTCACACTGCAGTGGAAGCATCCACGCCACCTCCTTCCCCTTTACGTGCGCCTCGACCAGCTTTGTAAGCTGGTCTGCGGGGCGCACGGTCCACACACAGCTGCAACCGTGAGGACGTGTGGTTTCAGGGCACAGAGAGGAAGCGGCTTTGCTCTTCTTCCTCCTGAACCTGGAGTCCACCTTTCTGAATTGGCATATGAACAGGTTATTTATAACAGACCAAAACATCAGCGACAAAAATACCTTTTCCTTTGTCTGTAAAAGTACACTTCTTTTTCTATTTAAAGAAAAATAGATAGAAAACAATCTGAAACCTGATTATGATTCTCTCTCGGGCCTTTTGCTTCTCGATATCTACCCTCTTATGGTTGCAAGAGCATGACTGAATGATTGAGTGAAAAATCTTCTAAGAAATAGGCACTTTGTAGATAGCTAATTGATATACATATATACGCACTCTCTCTATATATGTATATATTGATACATTTGGGATGTGGCTCCCAGATACCGCTGGGCCACTGCTGAGGAATTTCAATAAGGTCGCCAAACAGATTCATCCATTCTGCCACTAGAATTCAAAACGGTTGGGGAACTGCTGTGGCTTCCATCAGCGTCAACACCATCATTCTGGTTAGGCAAATTTGGGTTTAATAGCGTGCTGCCATTCGAGGTGGTGGTGCATGGCGGAAGCATTCTGGAAGGAGACCGGTCTCCCCCCGGCACCATGGGGAACTGATAGGATCCTGACGAAGTGCCATAGTAGAGATATGGAGTGCTGCTGGTCTGGAAGGGTCCACTCTGGCTTTGGGAAGAGCCGGGGTAGGGTGGTGGCAGGTAGGTGTGGTAGTGAGTGGTGGCGGACATACCGAGGGACATGCCTGAGGTGACTGGCGGGGTGTAAGTAAAGGTGGCTGGATAGTGCATTCGTGGGTTGGAGAAGCGGCTCTCAGTGAGGGATGAAATGCTTGGGAACTGCCTGGGGTCTGAAAAAGGGCCCAGTTCTGAAGCACCTAAAAATTATAACAGAAGATGGGGGAAAAATCTGTAAATATCAGTTAAAATAATGATAGAATTTTTACAAGAAAAAAGAAAACTTTAGCTTCCCAAAAAGGAATAGCAAGCCACAAACAGATCTTCAAATGCACCGATCACTACATAGTCTTTTTTTTTTTTCCCCACTTCACAGTCTTAGCAGCATTTATCCTCAAGATCTGCCCACCCCCAGAGAATCCCACAGGGCTTTAAAAACCCAAATGTGTGCTAGGTCATACGTGTAAGCCAACCCAACACTCTTATCATATAGATTCACTCACCAGAGTTTAAGACTGAATCCTCATTGATTTTTTTTTCTCTTTTTGTTCTCATTGCACCTCAGATATTTGAAAGTGACACTTTTACTAAGGTGGACTATTTCATTTTCTCAACCGAATATAAAGAAATTTCAAAATGATCAGTTTTGTTATGGGTACTCTTGGCAGGTACCCCTTTGTCAATGAAGGGACATTAAAGAGACATCCTAGCACTGGTACCCTAGCATGTTCCAATCACTGCTTTTCAAGTCTTGCTGTAATTTAAAATCTTATTTTACTCTTCATCTTGGTAACAGATTTCAAATAAAAAAAATCAAACCATATTGAAGACAAATATTGTTTATCTATATTACTTATCTGGGGGCATATCAGGAGAATCAAGCCCTTAGAAATTCTCCTGAGGATCATAAACAAAATAAGTAGGCTTTAAAAGCACTGGGTGGGGTAGGGGGCACTTAGTACCTAGAAATCATTGCATTTCAAGCCTGGATAGTAGACATAGGACCTGATTTAGGCCAGTGCTGGCAGTAGCTTTTGTGAAAGGCTCTCTGTGTAATGCAGATATGAGAAGAGCACCTCACCATCCATTTACCAGCCCCTGTACCACATCCCACAGAATTCACCTCAGGCCAAACGGGTAACAGGGAGGCAAAGATGATTTCCCCCTGAAATGTGAAGTCCTTTAGCTTCTAAAGCCAACAGCATGCTTTCTAGATAGATATTTCTGGTGCTTAGCTTATGAAACCACAGTTATAAACCACTGCATGTGGAAATTAGTTTTCAAAGACTGGGTTATGATTTTCTAAAATTAACGAGATTGTGACAAGCCCTTTTGTAATATACCAATGTTCTTAAGATTTTGGCTGCATCTAAAAATCTTCCAATTCTTTGGATCTCATCATGTATTTGCTCTTCAAATAGCTTTTGTCTATAAGGGGAAGGACTTGGTAATTCTTGAAGGCCTTGGTGCGCAGGTGCTTCTTCAGTCCCGTCTTTATCGAGCACTCGTTCTTAGATGCTACCATACTTACTGAAGGCAGAGCCCGACCACTCTTCTTTAAAGGTGCTGACTGAGGATTGTTAATTTTTGTTAACATGCACACTGCCTATAATCTTCATAAAAAGCCAGGGCTAAGTGCCAGGATGTGCATTTGTAATAAAAAGTGACTATTTAAAAGCAGTGCGTAGTTAACAAAAGTTGTTCCCACAAATCGGACAGCAGCAATCAGACAGCCCCACCCAGCCTGGCCCAGCAATGGTTAAAAGTCTCACCTGCCTGGCTCTTCTTACTGAGAGTGGAAGGCCAAAGGCAGAAGTCAGAGGTGGCAGTGTCATCATCTGTAAAATGAGGGGGATGAGCTCTAAGTTCCCTTCCAGCTCTAAGTTCTATCACCGTGAATTCCAAGACAGAAGGAGAAGCAACAGCCTTAGGGGAGGGCAAGGCAGAGAAGTTCCCACCCCCTGGTTAGTCCTTTCCCGGAATCCACAGTCCCAGAAAGAGGGTGAAGAGCTAGCGAGCAGCTTCAACTACCAGAAGCAAACACTTTCAAGATGACAAACCAAAACTAACACAGTCTGGGCAGTTACTCTCTGCTTTTTACAAATTCTTCCATCCTCAACTGGCCTCTACCTAACCCCTCCCAAATACAAAACTGACAAGCTCAAGTTTTAAAATCTAGAGGTAGTGATTATGACAGAATGGCAAATGGGAACAGATGAGATTCAACGTCTCCCCGCCCCATGCGTATGAATTGCCTTACGGGTACAGGCACAGTATGGAGGCCACAGATGTTCCTCAGCCAGACTTTTCATTGCCGCACATCTAGGTGAACTTGAGTTGGCAGAGCTAATAGTTAGAGGCGGGCCACTTCTGTACACATTAAGTTCAATGCCCAGATCATGTGAAAGAAACCAGAATAATGTGAGCAATTTCAAACAGAAAGAAGTCACACTTAAAACATCAATGTTTGCCCCCCACAGGAGCAAAGAGCTCACTCAGATAGGCTTGCCAATGTAAAAATTGCTTCTCGTGGGTATTTGTACTTAAAATATACTGTAGTCATAATTAAAATTCCATGTGGTTTCCCTTATTTTGAGGCAGAAGCCTCATTAAAACCCTTTATGTGGGGCCCTGCCAGTAAACTCCACTACAGTTTTGAATTGATCCCGCCACCTTCTCTATTTTACCTGATACATTTTGTTAATGTTTTTATTATCCATAACATGCCAGGACCACTGTACCTTTTTAGTTTATAGATGTCAGCTAAGGCAAATTGACATTCATTTTTCAATTAATGAGCTCTGGTTGTGGTTTATAGAAAACAATGCAACAATTCCGTGAGGTTTACAGAATTTTGACCAATCATTTTTGGTCATTTGAGACTGTAATGTCTTGAGGAGTAGCTCTGTCTGGGCAAAGAGAGCTAGCTAACGTGAACATTAAAGAAATTACACGGTCATTTTTACAACTTACAAAACACAGAATTTTCTGGAATTTGCTTAGTCATTTTGTGTTAACAAGAAATGTTTCTGAAACACACTGCAGTGTGTGCTGTATGAAGAACGTTAATGATGTGCTACAGGACCCTGCGAGGCCCCTCACACCAGCGGCGTTCGACGGGTGAGCCTTGGCAGGCATGCCAGGGGCACTGCAGGCACTTTTAAAGCCTGCAGCACCTGACTCTCTGGTCGGGCACTGACCTCTCTTCCTTTAGATTGTCAAGTTTAAAAAAATGGCAACGGCCAACACAACAATAGCCGTCTGGTGTGAATGAATCAAAATTATACCTGGTTTTCAGTCAGATCGGCAAAAAATATAACTTTTTTGGTGTGGTGTACTGCAGAACTTTAGTGGCTAGTTTACGTGTGCCATGAGATGAAAAAGGTTAAAAATCACTGCTTTATGTGACACTCTCTGATATGGAAATGAAAAGAACATAAACCCCTTCCTCAGCTTCGATTTATTTACATTAACTGTTGCAGAAACAAATGATATAATTAAATTTTATTGAACAGGGTTATATCTAACACTTCTAATTTCTGTTTTGTACAACTCAGGTTTTCTTTCAGACTGCCTTTGGGTTATTTTGACGTTGCATCCTAAGTTATTCATTTCTGTGTCACTAACCACATCACAGCCACAAATTAAAAAACAGACCTAGATATTATATCAACTAAAGTAAAGAAAATGTAATATCTATTTATTAAAAGGGTCAAGAGGAAAGCCTGGAGGGTTTGAAAAGTACTATTACCCCAATCTAATTTTATAAATGTAAAACCAAAGCTAAGTAACTGCCCCAGTGATGTGCCTTGGAGTCTCCAGGCTCCCCCAAGACCGTTTGAAACCCTTGCCTGTAACCCTCTGACGAAACAAGCCCAGTACTGCCAGGAGCTCCTTGAAACCCATGATAACCACGGTGTATCTTCCCCATGGGCTGGTTTTACTCATCTTGGAGGTGGGGTACACGGTACAACAAACAGGGATGTGATACAGAGTAAATGCAACCCTTGGGTGAATTTTTAGACAAAAATGACTAACAAAATTTTGCACTTGTGAAGCTTCGGGCTATGCCTCCAGATCCCCTAAGGCACCCACTTACCTTCCCTCTGCTGGTTGGGGTACTCTGCTGGGAAAATCCAAACCCCTCATCTGCTGTTTAGATAATCCTAATCTAACCTGTTAATAAATAGCAAAGCTGAGTTCCAGAGAAGCGGTGCCATTTACTCTACAAAATCAGGCAGCTTAAGAGAGGTCGGGCCACAAACCAGACAGACCTCTTTGACTTCAGACCTCTTTGACGTCTGACCTTCTGACCTCTTTGCAATCTTAGTTACCTTAAAGGAATTTGGTTGACATGATCCCAGATTTTATATATATATATCCTGCCTTAAAAGTCTATTTGCCTAAAAATATTTCAGTAGGCTCTTCTGGTGCCTACATGTTGCCCCAATGAGAGAAACTGTCTTTGGGATACTATTAAGAACCTTTTGAGGTCTTGTTGTTGATCTAACCTACTAAATAGTGAGCAATTAGTTCAGTTACTCATGACACAATGTAAATGAGACCAAGGTCAAGGGTTTGATTCCCTTAGGATCTGCTGGTTTCCTACAGATGCATTTCATTCCAGACCTGCTATCTGCACCCCTGGCCATAGTCAGACAGCTTGCAAATGAATAGAGTGGTCACAAACGCAGGTGCAAAAACCTTGCTCATTACTACAGCAGCAGCAGCAAAAGCCTTTCACAACCTCATATACATGAGGAAGAATATATTAACAAAATGCCCATGAAGCACAAATAAAAAGAAAATCAATGCTAAAAGAAAAAAATTGTGTCCCTCCCGCCCAGGTCTGTGGGGAGAAAGAAAAGTAGCCTCTCTCTACCCACTCAGGTTTCTTGGGTCTTTGGAACAAGAAAATGTGGTAGAAAGAACTGAAACCAAGACAGTTAAAGTAAAAGAGAACCTCTGACCTTTGATTCTCACAGCCTGCAATCCCCCACTCAGCCTCTCGCACGCACTGCTTTCTAATGCTGGGTGCTGCTTAGCTCCTAACTAAAAAGCAAGCTGTCGAGGGCAGAGATCTGTCTAATCCTTGCTTGTCTCTCCTTCAGTGCTTAATAAAAATTCTTGATGTTTCCAGGCCTTTACCTAGTACTTCAACATACAGTTTCTCATTTATTAGGCCCTCAGCAAATAATGGTTACTTGAAGATGAGCAAGGAGATCTCTAGAATGAAAGGAAATAGTAGATTTTTTTTTTAAATAGCAGACTGGGTACTTGCCATTTCAGCCTGTCGGCTAGAAAACACTGTACCTATGTCTCTTCCTCTGTAAGCAGTGGAATTTACAAATCCCAGCTGAGGAGAAAGGTTGGGCAGAGAGAAAGAAAAGAGGCCTAAATCCAGGTGGGACATACATTGGCACATTTAGAGTCATTTGTCCTACTATTTTTAATGCCAGGGCATAAATGCACATCATGAAAAGCCATCATACTTCTCAGCAATGAGGTGTGAACTTCAAAGCTTCATTGGGGCCCTTTAAATGGTAGGAGTTATTGCTCCAACAAATCTCCAATGAAGTCCTAGTGCTTTTTATTAACCCCTTCCCAACATTCTTTCTATTGGAACATACAATACACAAGATCTCTGCAGAACTGCTCTTCTGTGAGAATCTTCTTCCCCTTCTACAACATTGGCTGCCCCCTCCACAACTGCTCTACCACGTAATTTCCAATTTCTCTCCTGTTCCAGTAACATTTATTTCCCATAGCATTCTTTTGGGCTCTTTGTCAATACTTTACTGAATTATTAGCTGTTTCTTAGCCCATTCTCTCCGATAGTAAAGTAAGCTTTGGATGGTAAAGGTCATGATTTATTTTACTTTCATATCCCTCAGAGCCTTCTATATCCTAAGAGCTTAATTTTTTTAATATAGGTGAATGGATAGAGGAATAAATGAATGAATATGGACAGTAAATTAAGGATTGGGAACTCTCTATAACTAGTACATTTTGGCACATTAAAAATATAAGTGCTCACTATGAGCACTAGGCACTGTCGACCTCAAACCTGAAATGTAATTCAAATACCATTCTGTACCTACAAAATTCTGCACGATTCTCTTTAAAGAGTGTTGGCAATTCTTCTCGAGAAGCATCACATCACTTGACCTAGTGTTCCCCACAGGGGCCCACAAATGGTGGGTGCCACTGGTGAATGGACAGATGCCGCTGCTTGACCACCTAGGGCCAGTGTCTGTGTGTAAGTCCACACAGGGAAGCCACGGGGAAGGAGAGAGAGGGCCAGGCCAGAAAAGCATGGCCTACAGGCAGGTTAGTCAGCACACCTGTCCTCAGGGGCCCAGGGTAACTGCTGCCAGGATGGTCCTATGATTTAACATTTTGAGTAGGTAGTAGAGATAACAGAGAGTAAAGCTCACACGCTGTCTGAATTTCTAGACTAGAATACAGAGCCAGTATGTCAGTCATCAAGAACCACAGATGACCTCTGTAGATGAAGAAATGGAAGCTTGGAGGCATGGCAGATCTGAGTGACATCACAAGAGTAAAATGTGGTTCTATCCCAAGTCCAGGTGTTCTTTCTACTCTGCTTCCACTACTCTGACCGAGTGTGGCGGCAGGAAAAGGTGGAGGATATGCCTGGAGTTTCCTTAGATGCGCATTCTATGGAAACACACCTGGAAGAGAAAAATCTTCTTACATACTACCTTTGCAGGCCACACAGGAGGCAGAGCCTTAAAACTGGCAGGTGTCATCTCCGACCAGCACAGGCCAGCCACCTTTCATAAGGCATGACTAAGCAGCTCTGCAGTACAGTGGC